CAGCATTCAACCTGGGATAATTTCGTGGCCTACAAAAAAGTCTGCGCAACCTGCACCAAGACCCTTCACAAAATCAAGAGGGACAAATGGAGAGAGCTCTGCAATTCTTTCGATGGTAAAACTCTCACTTTTAAACTTTGGAGCCTAATAAAATCTTTTAGGAATCGCAATCTTAACTTAGGTAAAGATGAGCTTTGCTCTGCTCAGGACATTGAACAAGCTATTTTTAACTTGTGTCCAGACTCGTGTCTTGATGGGAACTTGCCCTCCTTCTCGCGCATGAAATTGCAAGACGCGAGCAACCCTAACGTGATATCATCGCTCAATGAAAAAATCACGAAGGAAGAACTAAACTTGGCTTTGGGCTCCTCTAAACGTAAATCAGCGCCGGGGCTGGATCAGCTTGAGATTCTCAACTCACTTACCGAGGAATATCGAGATAAGCTCCTCGATATTTTTAACAAATTGTTTAAATCGGGATCTTTTCCGGAGGATTGGAAATCAGCTCTAGTCATCTTTATCCCTAAGAGCGGGGGAAAAGGCGCCAGACCTATCTCCCTGCTCTCCTGTATTATGAAGTTATTAGAAAAGGTCATTTACTTTCGCCTTCGGTGGGCCGTGGAGTCGCGCCCCATCCTGCCGGATTTCCAGTTTGGTTTCAGGCCGTTGAAGTCTTGTGCGGACAATCTAAGTGCGTTTACTAACTATGTACACGCTGGTTTTCTAGAGTCCAAAATAACTATTGGGGTGTTTTTAGATATCAAAGGCGCCTTCGATCCCGTCAATCTTACTCCAGGACTTACTCGATGTTGGAATCCCTGCGAATATACGCATGTTTGTTAAAAATCTTCTCAGTGAAAGGAAAATATTTGCGGTTAGCAACGGTTCTTTACTGGGACCGTTCCTAGCTCACAAAGGCACCCCATAGGGCTCCATCTTGAGTCCTCTTCTCTTTAATCTGTACTTGAGGTGCATAGGAGAACTGCTTAGTCAAGGGGTATGTATTCTGCAATATGCAGATGATATAATCCTTTTCGCCTCTGATATAAATGCGTGTAATGCCATTAATGCATTGCAGTCCTCCCTGGATAGGATTCGAGACTTTCTGTGGTACAGAGGCTTAGAGCTGTCACCCGCTAAATCCTCCTGGATGCTGTTCAACAAATCTAAAACGGACCCACCGCCTGTCACCCCTTTGAACCTTACAATAAACAATCAAC